TTCAAACAAGAAGTAACTGCGGAATTCAAAGGGATTAATTATTTCAAAAGTAGTTCAGGGAAAGCAAGAGTAATTTACATTAGAGGGGAAAAAAGGCAAAATAAATACAGGTAATCCTCAGTTAACAACAGTAATTGGGACCAGAATTTCCATCGCTAAGTGATGCGGTCATAAAGTGTGATGTCATGTGACCACATTGCTTAGTAACGGTAATCCTGGCAGTCCCCATTGCTGTCATTAAGTGAGGTTTGTGGGTCTTTAAGCAAAGATCTTGCAACATCCTGCCAGCTCTGAACAACCAAAGTCAGTGGGGAAGCTGGCAGGAAGTTGCAAGTCCCAGGTGGCTTGCAAGCAGGCTGGCAGGCAGGTAAGTGGCTGCTTTGGGGTGGGGAGGGCGTGTGAGGGTCTGGCGTGGCACAAGTGCAGCGAGGCTTGGGGTGGCTGCTGCGGTGCAGGGGAGGGCGTGCAAGGGTGTGCAAGGGACTGGTGGAGCACGGCATGAGCACAGGGAGGCTTGGAGTGGTTGCTGCTGGGCATGGGAGACTTAGCTGAGCAAGTTGCAACCTTCCCTGCCAGCTTCCCCATTGACTTTGTTTGTGGGAAGCTGGCAGGGCAGGTTGCAAGCGTTGATTATGTGACGATGGGACGCTGCAAGCGTCAGAAGTGCAAACCGGTTGCCAAGTTCCCAGATCGCAATCATGTGACCGTGGGGATTGCTGGGACAGCCAGAACTTTGAGGAACAGTACCACTTGTTCAGCACCATTGTAACTTCGAACAGTTGCTGAACAAGTTGTTAACCAAGGACTACCCCGAAATAAATATTCCTAAATCTGCTAATGACCTGCTGGGACCAACCAGAACAATCTAGTGAGCAGTGTAAATGGCAAATTCTGCATAAAATTATGTGGAGAAGAGGGCTAGGGAAAAGTTGTTTCCTGTTTTGTCTAATGCTAGAACCCAGGGTCATCAGTGTGGCTGTGGAAGCCGTGAGTTGTCGTCTACATCTGGCAGGCAGGCTGCCCTCAGAACATTAGATTCTTGTCTCTGGTTTCTGCTGCCAGGCACAATATTCCTTGGCACCTCACTAACATATCGGTTTTCATGGGGGGGGGGTCTTGTGTTGAGCTTTTCCAGCTCCGTTATAGAGGGCAAATTTCTTCCTTGGCAGGCAGTAGGAGCTTGCAATTTGATACAGGAGGTGCCTTTCCTTCCTCCCAGGAATGTCTGAGTGTTTGGCTCATCAAACCATCATTTCCTGTCTGTCCTGGTGAGGACAGTTTGCCCCAACCAGCTGCCAAACTCTTGTAGGTTTGGAAACTCCTGAATGAGTATCACCATCCTACCATTTTAAGATCCATTTTAGAGGATAACCAGTCTGTACTATCAAAATAGTGTTTACTTGTAGTGAACAGAGACATGCTTTTTAGAGAGATAATTGTTGCTGTTTTTCCATCACTTGATATCCTGAAATAGAGTAATGGTTCCCAAACTCGTAGCTTTCCAAGATGGTGTGTACTCAAGTAATCTAGACTAAGAAACCCACAACAGAAAGTGCGGGGGGTGGAGTAGATATATGTGCTAAGAAGACAACAGAAGCTCTTTAAGTGGTAAAGAGTGTTCTAAAAATTAATGGTCTTTAAAAATTGATTCATCCTCCCCCCATGAAATTGCATAGTACAAAAATTAGTTTTTAGAAAGGGGGTGTCAGGTAACATGCTTTGAGCTTGCAGTCCTCAACTTCTGTTAAACATTTAGTTAAAACAGTTGAGCTTGTTCATGGGGCTCCGAGTTTTTTTTACCTTTTTTTGTGGGGGGGGGGATAAGGTTTGTTTAAGTATTGATTAAACATTTTGCCATGAATGTGGGGTCAGATTTAGTGATTTGAACCTGGACATTTTTAGAACCTTCTGGCTGGGTTCACCCATTACACTAAACCATATTTTGGTAAACTTTCATTTTTGTTTTAAAGCCATAATTGATTAGCTTCATAAACATGGTAAGCTAACAACAAACCATAATACAGCTCATCACAGTGTGTGAACATTGTTCTTCTAACTCTCTGTCCTAAAGCATTTTGCTTTTCTGTGACTTGTGAATTTTTTATTTTATTTTTTGGAGTGATTGTGACTCCTTCCACTCTTTTGCACCCAAAAGCTATGTGGTCCAGTAATACGGCACTTGTTTGCCCGTCGAAGACAGTCCTCAGAACCTCCAAGGACTGTAAAAGATACCCAGTGAGATTTTGGATCTAGACAAATGAGCCAAGGCTCTGACTTCGGTGTACGAGAGCTCCCTTGGTCCTGACGTGGTTTGCAGTGCTAGTGGAGAGCTGACTTCCTCTTTGTTTGTGCTGTTCCTTCATTCCTTGGGTTGGCTTTGGGTTTTGCAGTCTCACAGAAGCCAAGGCTTGCAGTTCCAGAGCCGCTCTGCTCTTGGGCCAAAGAGCACACTGCGGTTCTGGCAGACGAGGCCTCTTACCCAGAAGCGAAACCTTACTAGTATCCTTAGGAAGTTACATGCTGTTCCAAACCTCTTGGTCTCAAGTCACTCTGAAATGGAGCCAGAATCTTCTGGTTATGCAATTAGGTGGCATCCACCATTCCTTCTGGGGAGAAGGGGTGACTGTTGCTGGCCAGGTGCTTTGCTGACTCCTGCGGGGTGGAACTCTGAAGCAATTCACGGCCTGCGAACCATCAGGCGGGGAAATGAGCATCCTGTTCTAAATCAAGAACAGTCAGGGATGAGCTATGGTTTATATTTGCCCGATTACAGGGATTGTAGAGAAGAAGTCTGGGAGCCAAAGAATTCTTTGCTGGAATTTGAAAACAGCTTTGTGGCTTGGAATCCATGAACTTCTGGTTCTGTAGTTAGTGGCCAGTTGGCAAGATCGCTTGTGCTGTCACAGCCAACAGACAGCTAGTAACATTGGTTAGGAGGCAGAGGCAGAGGCAGAGCCAAGCCAAGGCAGCTCAAATTTCAAGGTAGGCGTAGCCCTAAGTGAGATTTGTGCATACTCCATGTTGCTTGGGTGGATAACAGTGATCCTGTGATTTCTGTCATTAGCCTGATGGAGTTTGGATAGAAGCTGTCCAGTCTGTTGCTTGCCGTCCTGTTCCCCACACGCCTGGCCTGGAGACAGATGAATGCTCTTCAGAATGAATTACATTGGCTCTGTTCATACAGAGTGCTAAACCATAATGCACCTTGTTTGCTTTTGGTTTAATGTGTTGCATGCATTCAGCATGCTGTTGCTTATCTAACTAACCATTGCCTAGCGCAGTGTGTGAACCCAGCCATGGAAAAGCCAGCACGGAAATGAAGTGGTAGAATTCTTGCAATTCTTTGGCCTGCTAGGATTGCAAATGTCCTGGAACCAGAAAAGTTTCTGATCCCTTTGTTGTGCAGGAAACAACAAGAAAAGAAAAGGGCAAGGAAACTTCTGGGAGAGAAAAAGGGTCGAAGGATACAAATGGAGCCCTGGCAAGGAAATTGGAGGGCTTGCTTGTGGCCTGCTTTGCCTCGTGGCTTGGATACCTCTATTCTGTTTCTTTTTCTTTTTTCCCTTTTATTGTAATGTTACGAATCTTGATACGTTGTATTATTTCAATGCAGTAATGTTTATATAATATGATTAAAAATGATTAACATTCTATTATTTAAAAAGCTTAAAGTATTGAAAATAAAAAGAGAAAAGGATGTCAATGTTCCAAGTAGAAGATTATTAACTTTTCATCCAAAGTTGAGTATAAGATAAAAAAGAACCACTGCAATTCACATCAAAGTACTAGTTTTATGATAATAGTTGCAGTCTTGAACTAAGATCTCCATTGTATTACTTAATGTGTGTGTGTATATATGTTGATAAAAGGAAATAAAAGGTAGGCGAAGCAAATTTAACAAAAGTTAAAATACCTAAAAAGTAAGGGGGGAAGAGAAAAAGGAAGTAATAGTAATAATTTAAAAAAAAGAAAAAAAAACCTATTGATTTCTGTCTGCCCTCTTTTTATACATTTGCTAATGTGCAATATTTGTAAGCATTCAGTCCCCCTTAAAAGTCAGACTGTAGGTGGTTATATTTGCCATACTGCATTATGTATGGTATATACGGGAACCATTCTTGCTTAAATTTAAAGTTCTATTGTTTAATATATAGTATTGGTTTTGTCATTGCTACGTATTCTCCAAGTTTAGGTTCCCAATCAGATATTGTCAGGATTTGTGTTTTTCGTTCAGTATTGAGCAAAGTTTATTCTTGCTGCTGTAAGCATGTATCTCATTAAATTATGATATTTCTTGTTAATTTTTCCTGAGATTATGCCTAATAAGAACACTTCTGGTTTCAATTCAAATTTAAATTCCAGAATTTTCTGCATTATACTATGTCCTCTATCCTATTTGTGTAGGTTTGAATACAGCCCCAAATTAGAAACAATTTGAGCTCCTCGCAACCGTCTTGAGAATTAAGAAGTATCACTGACTTCTTGCATTACAGTAGAAAGTTAAATTGACTCTATTACACTGATATCTGTGCATTATTTTTCTAACTGACCTTTATATAACCTGGCAGGCATATTGGTAGCCTTTTCTGTTAAAAGAGGCCTCTCTGACTCCTCCCCACCAAGTTTATGTACCGTGGATATGGGGGGAGAAATACAGCGAACAGGGGCGTTCGGTAAGACTTTCTATGAAGTCCGGTACTTGGTCTCAGAACGTGCTTGGCAACATCCTATACGTTAATTTTAAGTATATCATATCACCTGGTGGGTATTTGGAGTCTAATAAGATCTGACAAGCCTAAAGTCCACAGATTCCTGCTGTGGGATGGTGGGAGCAGACTGATAGGCAACCTTTTCTGCCCAAAAAGGGCAGGGAATTGTAAATGCATACCTAGAAGGGTAAGAGGGCTTCCTATGGTCCAGGAGCCTCAGGCTGCTGCCTAGTTGTCTAACAGAGTTTATGGGACTGACCTAACAGTCTGTCCTTCCCACTTTATCTCCAGAACTCCATCCGACACAATCTCTCTCTGCATAACAAGTTCATTAAAGTGCACAATGAAGCTACTGGGAAGAGCTCTTGGTGGATGCTCAATCCAGAAGGTGGCAAAAGTGGAAAAGCTCCACGGCGAAGAGCAGCCTCCATGGACAATAGCAGCAAGCTGGCCAAACTCCGTGGGAAAACACCCAGGAAGAAACCAGCCATGACAGTTACTCCAGAACCGACAGCTGACAGCCCAGTCTCCCAGTTTCCCAAGTGGCCTGGCAGCCCTTCTTCCAGAAGCAATGAGGACTCTGATGTATGGACCAGTATCCGGCCTCGAACCAGTTCGAATGCCAGCAGTGTGGGGCTTTCTTCAGTTCTGACAGAGCAGGATGACCTTGCTGATGAGGAACTCCTCCCTACACTTGTTTACTCCAGTGCATCCAGCAATGTGCCTCCCACAGTGACAGAGGAGCTGGAACTCATTGATGGCCTGAACCTAATGTCAGCTAGTTCCTCCTTGCTGTCAAATCAGCAGCCAGTTTCAAGTGGTGCGACCCAGAGGAATCCCAATTTCTCCTTGCGAGCCCCAAGCTCAGCTGCTCAGACCTCCTCGTTTGGCAGCTCCCTCTTCAGCCCCATTGATCACTTGCTCCCCAGCTCTGCCAGCCATTTCTCGCAGTCGCTGGAAGAACTCCTCACATCCAACTCGCCACCAGCCAGTGATGTGATGATGACACAGGTGGATCCAATTCTCCCACAGAGTGGAAGCAGGTTGAACAACCAGAGTTACCTGCTTCTGGGGGACCAGCCATCCAAACCCAAGATGAGCTTGGGAAATCTACTCAGAAAGCCTTTGGAGCAGCCGCTGGAGTCCGTCAGTGCCACCGCTTTGCCATCTGCCTTTACTATGGTGGCATCTTCTCAGAACCCTGTTGGCCTGTCCACTTTGAAGACCTCAGGCTCAGCACAGTCTGCCCAGGTGGTCCAGCTGGGCACCCAGCCCTCTCTGTCTGCTACTTTCCCAACCTTTGATGGGAATCAGGATAAGCTGCCCAATGACTTGGATGTTGATATGTACATGGAGGACCTTCAATGTGATGTGGATTACATAATCAGCACCGACCTCATGGATGGAGAAGGACTGGATTTCAACTTTGAATCCATTCCATCTACTCCTAGCTACCCTAGCACGTCCCAGGCTTCCAATCATAGTTGGGTCCCCAGCTAACTTCAGATGGACAAAGGTATGTAAATGCTGATTCTGGATTATAGGCCAAATTGAAATCTGCTCATCCCACCCCACAGCCAGCAATTTGGTCCTGCAAATTTATGGAAGATTAGATCCCTGCCTCCTCCTTTTTGCAGTATTTCTTGGTTCAGAAACACATGGGCGAGCCCCCCTTCTTTCAGGCAGAAATACTTCCAACTGCTATTAGCCAGCAGGACATTCTCTACCAGTTCTGTAAAGGGATGAAAAGAGGTTCAGCTATTACAATGCTCAGTGAGATTTCTATCCTTTGGGTTAAACTAAATGCCGTTTGGTTTTGTTTAAATGTCCATTAAAATGAAAGTAGCTGCCGTACAGGAGGAGGAGGACAGATGATAGAGGAAAAAGTCCGTGCTGTTCCTGCTTCTATTTGCATTGGGAGAAAAATTTCCTGTGCAACCATTGAAGTGTTCCTCCCAATAAAAACAGTAGTTCTGGGATAAAGTAGACAAGTGGAATTGGAATCGGAAATGTCATAGTTGAAAGAGCTAAATGGCTCAGTTTGGGTTCTGTTTTTGCTTGGTTTGGTTCATATGTCAGCTGTTTTGTTCGTTTGTTTTTAATGACACTTTTTCCCCCTCACATACTAAAATGTTTCACTGTTATTTCCAAAAAATGAAAGTTTGGTTTGGTGGCAACCAGTTGGCCATTTGTAAGTGAGTAGCTCTAATCATAAGATATAAAAATTAAACAAATAAAGGACTGCCTTCTGCAAATGATCCTAGGCAGGTTTGTGTCTTGGCAGACGATGGTTTACTGACCCTAAAGTTTCTTTACTGTAAGCAGGACAGCAGCTTAAACAGTTGCTCTGCAGCCAGTATCATAGGGGACTCTCAGCTCTAACTACTGGAGGCTTCACGCAGTGCTGATGTTTGGAGCCTTGCCCTCTCTTGAGATGGGCGTGGCAAGAAATTCAGTCTTTTACCTGAGGGGAGAATAGGCAACTTGGAATCCAACTGGGGGGAAAGTAAATATCCACCCCTTTCCTGGTACACCTTCTCTAACTTTGGTTGCCCTGAAGAAAACTAAACACTTTTCTTTCTGCTCCTACTTTCCCCCCCCCCCCCTTTCCCAGTGCCCTTCTGCTTCTGGAGCTTTTGCACACCCAGAAGAGTCTGGAATGCCAGGAGCTCTTGGTGCCTGTCTTTGCCTTGCGAGTGAGCTGGGAGCAAGAGGCAAGCTGCGGTGGGAAGAGAGAGATCCTGTTAAGTGCCACGTCTTTTCATGAATCCAGCATAAGCCCTCCTCCCAGCAGGAGCCTCAGAAAAGCCTTGGAAAGCGCTTCACCACGGCCAGACTCTTCCTGCCCTGAAGAAGCATTTTTCAAATTGATGTGCTTCAGACCCAGCCATGATAGGTCTGTGCTGTCTGAACCCACCAGCCGATTTCTGCCTCATCTGTTGTTGGACTTGGTACGCTACGCCTCAGTTGGTGGGACGATGGTCAGCCAGTCTTGGGGCTGCTTGAGTGGAGAGGTCCTGTCCTTTGTGCTCTTGTCCTGTTCCCGAGAAGAGCAGGTGGGGGGAAAGCCAGCTGCCCTATGTAGTGAGGAGATTGCTGAGCTCGTTCGTGCACATCCTGGCCAAGAGGCCCTTCTGGGAATCAAGGCCTAGCCTGGCCTTTGGAAGGCCCCACCTGGATGTGGTCACTGAAAGCACTTTCCTGAAAGCGCGACTGCCCTCGAGCAGGTGCTAAAAGCTGTTGCTGAGAAACCAAAACGCCTTCTCTGGGTTTGTTTCTGTGCTGCAGTAGAGAAATAGGAAACCCGGATCTGGCCTTAACCAGAGCCCTGATCAGTGTCGAATTTTTTCTTCTTTTTCTAACCTGGAAAGGCATTTTATACAGATGAACTATTTTGGTGGCGTTTTCTATCTTTCCCTCTTTAATATGGACAGGGACAAGGCTTTTTGTGGTAGCCTTCAGCCCATTTTACACATCTCCGCGTTGAGTGCCTTTTCCCCCCTCACTTGGCCTGTCAGCAGCTGTGCTATTCCAAGTTGTATCCAGAATGAGAGGGCAGCTTCTTGGGTGCTTTATAGCTGGGCAGGGAGGAGGGAAAGGGGCACCAAGCTAGCCTTGTTCTTTGGAACTGGGGTAGGTGAGGGGGCTGTAGATAAATACCTGTAAAGTTAGCAGCAGATTAACTAGAAGCTTTTGTTAAACAAAAAAGGGGGGAGGGGGGGGAAATCCTGTCTATATTTTAACAGAAAATCCTATGAAATGATTGACTAAAAGTAAAGGGCCTTTTCTTACAGCTTTGTAAGTTTTGATACCAGAGAGAACACTAAAGCACACAATGCTGGGAATTGATCTGAAGATGGGATGATGGGAAAATGGGTGGGGGCAAGGGGTGGTGTTTAGATAAGACTCAGAGGCCCCTCCTCCAAGGAAGGGGGAGTCCTAGCTCCTGGAAGCACAAGGTTGATAATCTTGTATTCCCAGCAGGAGTCTTGGCGTGGTCTAAGCCTTGGAACAGCAAGGTTGCAGCTGCCACTTTGCTACTTTGGAGCCCTTGACCTCTTGGTGCAGAAAGCTGTCTGTGGGAGGGCCACAGCTTACCTCTGTCTGATGACTGACAGCTTGGGGGTGGCTGGGGGTGCTTAGGGTTGACTTTGCTGTGGAGCCCGGTTGGCAGTGCTCAGAGTATAGCTCTGATTGCAGGGTGGCAGTTGCTTTGTCATGGGCATCCAATGTGTTCCCAGGCTGATCTGGCCTCTCCTGCAAAGACCAGGGTAGTTAGCGTTGCAGAAATAAAGTGCGAGGAACTTTTTCCCAGCATTATTCCTCCTCAACAAGGGGAGACGGTGTGGGCTCTATTCTGCCATGGGCACACTTGGAGATTCACCAGCAGGGTTGGAAAGGGAGGGGAAATAAGAGTTCCTGGAAGGGCAGACGACACAGGTCCTTCAACAAGTTCGTTTTCAGACTTCCTTCCATTATCTTCCTACAGTTACTGAAAGCCATTTGTGGTGAGGGTGAGGAAAGGCAAAAGATGTCTGCATGGAAATGTGTGCAGTAGGTTACGCTTACAGCAAACCATAGGTGTATTCGTATCCAAGCCAGCCCTCACAGTTCTTTCATGGAATGGTACTTTTGCAGAAGTTGGCTAAGTTGAAAAGGAAGGGGTGTCAGTTGAGAGAGATGGTGCCCTGGCCTTCCACTGTCAGAAAGCTATTATGCCAGTTTGCTCTCTCCAAGCAAGACCTAGTTAATTATGGGAATATACTGCTCCCCTCCCCTCCTTTGCATGGAGCATTGTAGACAGAAGGGGCCTTGATTAGGATCAGGGAGAAGCTAGAACTGCTGTGGCCCCGAGGCCTTGCGTTGGGCTGCAAGAAGAGATACAGATGTAAGTCACAGCCTGTATATCAGGTGTGTATAAGTCTGTTAAGAATTGCCACGCATCTGATTTTCCCCCTGCAGCTGCACTAATAGGGGTCCATAGGGCATCCTGCCCCATAAAGGTATCAGAACCTTTGGGTTGTTTTTATTCATCTGTACCCTGCGTAAAGGAGAAACCGGTCTTCGTGATATAATATGACCTGTGCTTTCGGGATATCCTGCCTTCAAGGAGAGCATGTTTCTGCTTTGAATTAAAGATGAAGGTAGTTGTCTTCTGTGGCATGAATAATGGGATCTGCTGGGATCCAGGACAAGATGTCTGTTCGATCTTTATGCACAGCCCATGGGGGCTTGCTGAGCTGTTTCCACCAGGATGTTGGTAGGGATCCGGAGTCCTCTAAATGCAGATAGACTTCAACTCCACTTGTGTGCTTTGCTGATGAGGCTTTTGCTCATCGGAGTCCCAGACCATTTGGAGTTGTAGGTCTTCATTTGTGCCTAGCTTGAGGAGAAATCTTCAGGCTGGCCTCTTTCCAGGGCAGAGTGATGAGGGGGGTTGTACCTGCCTTGGTGGAGGCCACAACGTATTTGAATTCTCCTGCTTGTCCCTGGGAGGGATTGGGGGTTCAGAGGGGAGCTGTTGAAGAGCCATTGTGCCTGAGGACTTGACTTCCCCCCTGAATAAACTGTTTATTCTGTTGCTCTGTCCCCTTGAGCAACAGAATCACTGTCCAGGCATTCTAGTGTCTCTCCCTTGTCCCAGCCCCCCTTCCCCTAAGTTTTTGTGGATTTGCTGGAGGGCAAAATGTGACAAATAAACCTTTATAATCATCTGTGTTGGAATAGTTCTTGTTCTTCCCATTTCAAAATTTGCAAGAAAGGTTTCGGCAACGGGAGGGAAGAGATGTCTTTGGAAAGTGGGTTGTGCTGGAGGTCATAAACTTAACATGTAGAGGATTGTGTGTGTGTGTTTAAATCTAAATGCCAGGTAATGGGAAATAAATGTTGGCAGGGATCTAGCATGCAAGTCAATAATACCTGGTTTCTGCTAGAACATCACTGAGTGGGGCAGCAAATAGCAGACTGTATGGCGTTGTGTCTCGATTGCAGCCAGACCAAAGCCTTAATGGAACTCTTAAGTGTGAGCATCCACAGGGTGCACCTGCAATATGAAGCAGTAACTCTAGTCTTGGGGGAGTGGGGGAGGGTCACAGGTGGTAACTTTCAGGCACACATTTTTCTGATGTCTCATAATGGCCAACCAGGCATCCCCAGCAGCTCTAGTGGGCATGAAGAGACAGTCTCATCTGTCTGTCGAAATAACCAGATGCATTCTTGCTGGTGCTAATCCCGTTCTTGGCTCACCTGCCTTACAGTATAGTGGTCAGCATACCTGTTCCTGAAGGGAAGAAGGCTGGGTCTGATAAATCTTACATCTTTGAACACAGCTGGGAAAGGCAGAGTAATCTGCCTTTGCTCCAGCTTGAGGAGGGTGAGGGCGAGCTGCAAGGAGAAAGAAAACAGCATAGCCGCTGGTGGCGCGGCAGAATGTACGTTTGGAAAGAAGAAACACCTTCTTGTGGAAGGGGGGGTTACTCACATGTGCTGGATCACTCTGTTAACAGGCCAGCCCTTTACTGGAAGCAGCAGTTCCATACCTTGGGTGGAAGGGGGAGAGCCACAAAGCTATTCTCACGTCTTCAATTGTTTTGGCAATGGGAATTTTGCATGCCATGGGCATGCTTTGCTCTGGGGCGAGAATGGTCACTCGGGCGCCTGTCGGCATGTGTCGGTGCAGGCAGGCGCCACGCATCAGGGCCGCCCCTCCTGGAGTGGCTCTGTGTTCAGCTGTGCAAGGAGCTCCCCCAGCCTGCTCTGGAGGACTCCTCGGCAGGCGGCATTCCAGCACTGGGAGGCCAGCGCGTTCCATTCTTTTCCTCCCACCAGCAGGCTTGGGAGCAGCTTTGCCTGCCTCTGCCAAGCCAGCCACCTTCTTCCCACCGCAGCCTGTTTAGGTTCACCCTCTTCCAGGAAGCAACGCTCTGCTCCCTCAGCCCTTGTGACCTCGTCAGCTGTAAGCTGCTCCTGATAAAGTCTTAAGCTATAATGTCCCTTGTCCCTCCCTTATAGAAAAATCTGAGCCCCACTTTAATAATGAAGTTATGTAGCAAGCCTAAGTCATGCAAATGCAAACATGTGCTCATACTTGCAAGCAAGCTAATTTGGGAGCCAGTGTACCACCCGATAGGATGGTGCAAGTTCAAATTTGTTTGGAAATACTTGTTCTCTCTCTCTCTCTTTGAAGTTTCCCTCTGTGGTAAACACAGAAAGATGGGATAATGGGGAATAGTTTAATCTGGGCAAAGAGACCTTAGCTCAGTGGGGTGGTACATGGTTTCAATTAGGAAAGTTCTGGATTCAGTTGGTAGCATTTTCAGTTAAAAGAATCATCTGGGAGATTATTTTGGTGTGGGGAACTATCCTCAGGCCAAGCATCTTGCCATCATTTAAGGCATATTTATACATTCCACAAGTTTGATTTCAGAGGCAACTCAAGTTCTGTGCTCCAGAAGAATGAGGGTGGGGATCCCCAGAACTTCTTTCCAGGGCAGATTGATTGTCCTGAGGAACCAGAGATAAAAGAGCATCACCTGCTGGTCAAGGGTTGCAGTGCAGGAGAGGTTAAATAGCGGAGACTGACCCCTCGGACAGAGGAGCAGGAGCAAGTACTGCTCTAGGAGTTATTGGCCACTGCGGCAGCAGTTCAGTGTTGGTAGGAGAGCTCTAACATTTCCCTTGGTGTTCTGTGGGTTCCTGGCCATCATTCAGGATAATGGCATGCTAAGCCATAATGCAATGGGTTTTGTTTCTGCTTAGGGGCTGTGTGAACCCAGCTTATGTGGTTTGCAGTAATGGTTCATAGTTCAGCGTGATGTATAACCTTGGCCACTGTGTGGAGGTGTGCAACCTGAGGCTGCTTTTCTGCTTCATTCCCACATAGCTCTTAGAACTAGCTTTGGGCTCTCTCAGCTACATCAGCCATGTAGATAGCTTTTCAGAGCAGAAGGCACTTTTGTCAACAGGCCCACTTGAGTCTGAAGACCTCCTCAAAGTACGGATGGATTTTCCTGTCAGCAGGTTTCCATAGTATACTAGTATACAGTACATTCAGTGCATACATCTTATTTCTGTAGGCAGTATACTTCTGATTGCTCTTCCTCTTCATTTTCAGGGCCTTGATTTTTCTAATTAAGACTACTACCTGAATAAACTTTCTCTGTGTGATTCACAAGTTAATAGATTGATTGATACTGTCTGAATACAGTGCTGCAAAGAAGGAGCATGCATTCTCAGAATAAGGAGAGCACTGGTCCTGATAGAGCTCATCCACTGTCCTTTTCACAAGCATTTCTGTAGAGCAGTGCCCCGCATCTGTTGCCTGCCCCGCATCCTTTTGACCCTAGTACATTTTTAAATCTCTAATTTCACTTCCTGCTACATCATCACAACTTGAGCAGGAGAGGCTATGTTGTTTTTTAAAGTGAGTTATTAACACACAGAGAGTAGCATTTTGTTCCTAAAGAAAAGGGGGACAGTCTGTGGTACTTGCCTGGTGCATGTTGTCTTACATGCTCTGCCACTGAAGGGGCTGAAACTGCTCAGCTGAACCTATAAGCCGGTACCCTTCCGCACAGGAATGAGCATAGCAATTGGTGCCAAGATCATGTACACAGCGCTACGCTAGTTGAGGTTAGCTTTCTCCACCCTGGAGCCTTTTAACCATGCTAGACTGCCAGAATACAGGCTGTGGCAGGAAGCTGCTGGAGAGGTGGGACACAGAGGCAGCTGTGCATCGAAAGGGTGTGCCCACCCTTCATTTAGGCCCCTTGCGGGAGAGGAATAAGTGTTTACTCCGGCTCCGGCTTTCCCAGCCCATACAAACAGCTTTATTAATACCAGTTGAGGCACTTCAAAGGTTCCTTCTAGTCCCGCGTCAAGAAGAATGTGTGTCCTGCAGGAGAGTAGGTAGCTCTGTACTGCTGCCATGAGGCTCTAACCGTAATTCCAGGATTTGGGTCCTGCTGAGGGAGGCCCTGGTTTCCAGTCTCCAAAAAGAAGCGCAGGAGCCTGGGCTGCCATGACATCCTGTGATTGCTTCTTAGGCTGCGCAACGCAGGCCACTGAAACAGATCCCGGCGGCAGCCGCTGCCAGCAAACCCCAAGGACAAGCCGTTCCCAGGAAAACATTTTGAAAGAAGAGAGCCCTGCCAAGTCTAGCAGGAGGAAGGGCAAAGCCCGGGACTTCTTGACGCTCCTGCATCACTCAGATAATAGGCTGTGGATCTTCGTCAGGAGCACATCTGAGTCGGAACCTGGAAGCAAGAGGAGGTGGGCGTGAGTGGCTGCAGCTCATCAGCTTCGTGCGCGACTCTTTCTGCTGCTCCTTTTTTAAATGCAGAGCAGAGGTGGAGAAGGAAACACGCAGCCAAATTTAGAGTAAGCAACGTTCATTCAACAAACAGCGAGCCTTGTTTGAAGCTGCTTAAAGAGACAAGAAGGGAGGGCGGCTAGCAGTGCGCAGCCCTCTGCCAAGTTCTGATTTCCCCAGGATGCTGGGAGACCCCTTTCCCTCCTTTATACACCCTGTATTGGTCTCCTGTCCAGCTGTTACATGCCAAAGTGGCATGGAAATATCCCATCATTCCAAAAGCCCAGCTTTACCTTGGGAGTCCTTTTTCCAAGACCATCTTCTGTAAGAAGAAAAGCATTACATCAGAAGCAAGTGAATCTCTCTGCCCCCCCCCCCACAGCTCTCTTGGCATCTAGATGGAAGGCCAGGATGCAGCTGGAGAGCAGCTAGGTTCCTACTGATGCTTGTGGCACAGAGGGACCCAGGTCATATGGTGCTCCACGCTATGGACAAGAGCGCTTCTCTCAGAATCACCATGAAGAGACAACCATCCAAGAAGCTCAAGTCATACAGCACTCAGGGCAAATACGGGGGCTATAGGAAGGCTGAATTTGGACACTCCTGTAGGCGAGTTCAACAGGCATATCCTTATTTACCCCCTCTGGGAACACATCGATTGACTTGAGAGGAGTTAGTGCTCTGTCCTTGAGCAAGATTTCGGTATATGCTGCTGTAAATGAGATCTGTTCTACCTTCTGGTAGAAAGCACTGGATCTCCAGCTGCTCTAACTCAGACCTAACCCCTGTTATGTGCATACAGGCGCATTCACAAACATCCATAGTGGTGATGGCAGCAACCGCATCTCTCACTGAGAAGATGAAGGAGGCTCCTCATCTCTGCTCGCTCAGTACTCACTTCAGCAGCAAGAATGCCCAGAGAATGAGCAGGAAGGAGACACAGTCTGTGACGATCCAGATCATCTGATACGTGGCACGAGGCTGGGAGAAACACAGAAGGCAGGCCAGGGTGGACTTCAGGCTGGAAGAGGGGGTGGACAGCCAGCTGGCTGCCTTCTCCCAGGGAGCCAGACTGCCGCAGCAGACACCGGAGTAGCCCCCCTACCCCCAGCAGTCTTACCAGCAGCCAGACAGGGCGCTGCATCTTCTGTAGCACCTGGCAGGCATTGGTGGTGACCGAACTAGTTCCAGCACACCACAGGATGGAGAAGAGCCATGGGGCATTGACCACGTACAAGTTGACTGAGATATTGTTGCGGCGGTATTCCCTGCAGAAAGTGGGGGGAGGTGTGCCAATAAAATGGGAGGTCAGCACCAACGCATAATAGCACAAGTTTGCATGGAAGGGCTTGAGCGAGGCTGTGGCTACATCCCAACCTCTGGGAGTTTGAGGCCTCCATAGGCAAACACTATCCAAAGATTACACGTCTTTCGTTGGTTGCTTTCCAGCTTTGCTCACTGGTTATTGGAGGGGGTGGGGGGAAGTTATGCAGAACGCTGCTGCTCCACTTGAGCCCTCCCAGTCCTGTTTCTCATTCTTTTGGCTTCAGAGATCTTTGTCTTCCGCACCCCACACATTTCCAAACCCATACCTTCCATTATAAAAGCTGGGCTGGTGTTGAAACACAGGTTTGTATAAAAGCCCTCCTTAGATGTGGCTGGGATATGCACTGAGCTGACCAAGAAAGAGACCACCCCCAGCTCTAACCTGATTTCTGTGCTGCTCAGATTTTGGTAAGGCAGGTTGACCCGCGGCGGCCTTGCTGTTTTGTTGCCCAAAATCTTGGAGCCATAGATCTGCTGGAACCTTGGTGCTTGCTGTTCCACCTGCTCCCGAAACCCGTCAGGCAGCCATAGGATCTGGGAGTAGAGAAAAGAGGGGATGAAGCAGGGTCTGTTCACCCTCTATCACCACATTGGTCTAACATCATCTGCAGGAGCTACAAACGGGAGGCTCAGGTTATCTGGATCTGGAGCAGGGAAAAGAGCCGACTACAGCTGGGTAACTAACTTTTCAGGGTCAGTATCTGGAGAGGACCAGATAGCATAAGACTGTCCTGAAGCAAATTTTTCAAGGGGAACTATACTTTCCCTTTCTCTAGCCATTTACAATCTCCACAGACCCAAACGTTTGGGTGCTGCCTAGAAGATGGATTGGCCTTACTCGGGGCGGGGAAAGCTCACCAGCTCTGGGGTGATGCCCGACTGGAGGACTGTCTGCACTGTGATGTTGACAAGGTGCTCATAGTGGGGGTCTTCCTCTGGCCGCAGGTCAAACATGACAGACACCTTGTGCCTCTTGGCCTCGCCCAGCAGCTCCTTCAGAGACAAAATGTGCTGCGTCCTGGCCTGGGCCACCTCTTCTTCTGAAAGGCTCCATGCTGTGGGGAACGGATGCTTCTGGCAGAGGAAAGGAAGCAACCCAGGCTTAACCACTCACTGGGGTTGGATAGGCCAGCCGTCATCTGTTGAGCTGTCCGTGCAAAGCCATCGAGCAGGTCTGTGCGCGTATTCGGTTGTCCCGTAAGTGAAGGAGCTCAAATCAGCCTCTCTATTAGTCCCATCACCCCTAGAAAGCATGGGTGTTTCTTACAGAAATGATCCTTGTAGTCCAACACATCTGGAGAGGTGTCAGAGAGGGAGTTCTCTCCCTACCCCATTTTTATGTGTAAGGGGCAAGAGAAATGAGGTTACTTTTAGAGGAAACAGGAAGGGTCCTGCAGCTCCTGGCTGCCAAAAATTAAGAGCATGGAAGGCTCTTCAAGAGCGAGGACTTGTGCTACAATGCCCTGGTTGTGTTCCTACATTTTGCTTTTGTGCAGGTGCAGAATACTCCCCTCGTAAAAGATAGTACGGAGTCATTTTTCCATCGGCTTTCTGACACAAAACATTCCCTATCAACCATGCTTCACAGAATCCAAGGTGGTTCACCCCCCAACATCAACCAAATCCAGATGATCAGGCTGCACATTCAGCCCAACCCAACCCAACCCAACCCAACCATGTTTTGATCCAGCAGCACCATCCTGCTCTCACCTGCAAGAACCAGCTGCCAGCATCAAGTTGCTGCAGCTGTGTCCAGTTGAAGGTGTTGGCATTGGACTGGGCTTGGGTGGGAAAGACCTCCTGTATGTTTGTGGTCCGTAAGAGCTTCTCATCATGCATAAGGAAAGGGATCCCATCAGCACTGGGAGTGAAAAAATAAAAATAACTGGATTCTGGACCTTTCTTTCCCGTGTGGGGGATGAGGAAGCATTCGGATAGATGCCTCACAAAGCCAGGAATTCCCGTTCCCTGCCAAAACCTTCCAACAGAGCCCTCAGCATTCTTACCTCACCAGGACATCTGTTTCTAAGACACTCACGCCACAGTTGACTGCCTTCTGGAAGGACATCATCGTGTTCTCTGGTGCAAGCTGGAGAGAGGGGAAATGAAGGTGATGTTGGAGGGTTTGGGGTCCACCCACTGATACATTGACTTCTAGCCTGTAGCCCGTAGCATGCCTCCCAGCTCTCCAGGGGGGATTCAACATCAACTTACAGGTGGCACGGTCTTGGCAGGTGAGAGGGTACTTATGAGAAAGAGATGCTCTGGAGCTGGGACACCCTCCTAATCCAAGAGGAATAGGCAGAAAAATCCCAGCAAGGCTAGGCTGTAAAAGTTAGCATGGGAAAAGCTGCTGCTCTTTTAAGGACACATCCTGTCTTGGTAGAAACAGGCCAGCTGTATTGAGGAGGAAAGCTTCAAGACAACATCTCCAACCTGGTGTATTCCAGATGTGTTGGGCTTCAACTCCCCACATTCCTACCTGATACAGCCACTGGGAATATAGAAACTGTTCTAACACATCTGGAATGCACTCAATTGGGGAAGACTGCTGAAGAGAGTTCTGTTTCCCCAAAAGTACAAAAACTAATCCCAACTGGATATCCTAGCATCATCTTCCAGCTGGTACTCCATTGTTGTTCAGGCCACAAAACACAATTCTCAGCGGCCATGACCAGAGGAAGCATCCAGGTATTTCAGTTTCTCGAAATGCTTCTGCAGGGTCTCCCCCCATGGGAGGCCCTAGGAGCATGGGCAGCTTCATGCTAGTGCAAATCTTTTTGGAGCATAACATCTGTAAACTTGCCTTTGCTGATATAGGTGTGAATCAGAAGCATGTGGGAGGGAGGGCAGCCCCTAGAAGCCACCGCCAAGGCCTATCCCCCACTCTCCCTTTTGTCCCTCTGCTCTCCTGAAAGGGAGTTACTTACCATGGGAGCCCCACGGTGCCCAAACAGAGCTGGTTTGGGAGGAAGCTGGCCCTGCTCCAAGAAGCAGGGAGAGTCAATGCCCAGGGGGGCCAGGTATAAGGCCAACGCCGCACCCAGGTAGAAGAGCAGGAGAAGGAGCCGGAGAGCTGTAGCAACACAAATGGAAAAAGACCTCAAGCAGTCAGCGGGGAGTTCTCTGTCCACTTGAAGATCCCCAGACCAGCTTTCCAAAAGTCTATCTGGCCCCCCGATAGTTGACTGATCTTCACCTGTCCATTAATCCTAGGAGGCTTCTCTCCCTCCAGGGATCCCTAGAACTGTAGGCTTGGAAGCAGCCCTTGAGTGAGAGCCCCTGCTCAGCGTAAGAATCCAAATTAGCGCCTCCCCAACAGGTGGCTGCCCGGATTCTGATTAAATCCACCCAGCAGAGGGTTTTGGCCCCAGTGACGTACAGCTCTTGTGTTTAGGAAGGCTTTCCTAGCATTCAGGTGGAATATGCCACCCCACAACGTGGGACTGTTCCTCTGTTTCCTGCATTCAATGCTGCCAGAATGCTGCCAGGTGATCCTAAGGAAACAGCTCCACAACAGAGTCGGGGACACTAAATCCTGGATCCCCACCTTCCAGGGGCCTTTGAATAAGCCCACAGACATCTTTTTAACATCTCAGGAGGAAGCTGCGTCCGTGTGCACTGCGGAGGCATCGGGTGGAAATGAGTGGTGCCCAAGTACTAGTTCCAAGGGCTCAGTCCCAACTGGGCTTCCATGAAGAATATTGCCCCCCCACCCTTCCCCGCCCCAATACCTGCATGGGAGATGCGGTAGAAGCAGTCTGCTACCGGCCAGGCAAGCAGAGTCAAGCCGGCCACTGCGCCAATGTGCAGGAAGGGGCCGATTGCCTGGTGGGGAAACAGTAAGAGTTGGTTGGGCTTCTCAAGGTGGCACGGAGGGAAAGTCGGGCTGCAGATGCTGCAGCAGAAGCTACGGTCTGAATCTGCCCGGGACTGGGGAGAAGGGCAGCTGTGTCGGGAGGGTCACCCCCACTCCCTGAAGGAAATGGCCCCATATCGCTTGTATTTTTCCAGCCAAGTCCTCATGTGATTGTGTCTCCTGCTGCCCTTCATCCACCAGGACGTGCAACTTCCCACTTCCTGGCCTTTTTTGGGTTCTCACGCAGGGAGCTACAATCCTGCGGCAAGGAAGACCTGTCTCTGGAGACCCTTCCCTGCCAAATGGCGCACAGGTGGCTATCACTGAGGGCTCCCGGCCTGCCAATTCCACGGGGTCCAAAGGTCTGGCCATCAGCACGGGCTGCTCGTCCAGAGCTCAGATATTCCCACCCTATGGCTGCCCAGCCTCCATTATCCAGGGCCCCACGGAGGCAGCGGGCAATCTCTCCACATGTGAAACGCAAGCCATCTGCCGCAGCTCAGTGAGCAGGTGGGAAGAGAGTGCAGCTGGACGGGCAACCTGCACGGGTCTCGCTTAAAGCAGCAGGCACAGGCAGCTCCGTCTGAGGATCCTACCTGGAGAGAGATGTGGGCACTCTCCCACTGTTCTGACCACTGAATTTGCAGTCCCAGAAAAGCAGCTGCTACCATCAGCGCGGTCAGGATCAGAAGGCCCTGGAAGAAACCGAGAAGACAGCTTCAAGGCCAAGGAAGCCACCTGAAGGACTTCTGTCCTTGCCATGCGGGCAAGACCTTCCAGCTGCTGGTGCGTTGGCGAGGGATAATCAAGAGGAAGGCATTGCGTAAGAAGCCTCACACCAAAAGGTGGCCGTGAACAGAGTGCAGCAGAAAACCTCATGCTTCTGGAAAGAAAAGGAAAGAAGGTGTTGCAGCCTTACCTTGTGGAGCCAATGTAGCTTCAGGGGCTGGTGGCAGAGCTGTAGGCAGAGTGCCAAAACCTGTGAAAATAAAGGAAATATGAATACAGTCCCACTCCCCACATCCCCACTGCTGTTGGGGCAAGGAGGAGAAAACCTTTAGGGCAGGATGGGCTGACCTTGCTCGGAAAGACCCTGAATTGAGACGCTCTGGAGTTTATCCCAGTCTTACCCAGCCAAGTGCCCTTCTGGATGTGTTAGACTACCAGTTCCCTCAATCTCATGTAGTCCAGTATGTCTGGAGAGTAACAGGTTGGTGAAGATCACCATACACCAAGAAAAGGAAACATTCAGACCTGACTTGTACAATTAGCATCTCTTTTCTTGCCTGCCTCCTTAACTCTTCTGCCCAAGAGCCCCACTACTAAACATGAACCACCCTTCTCAGCACCCTCCCCTGTTCTGGCTTCTGAGAGGCACGCCTACCTGCTTCACCACCTGATTTTGACTAACTTGAGCTGGAGAAACTTGCTTGTCAGTTCTTCAAAGTGAACCGGTATCCATTGTGCCAGTATCATATTGGCCTCTCAATGTTGCAGAGATTACTCTGTTAGATGCTGCTGCACCACTCCTCCCTCGTCCTCCCTGCCCATGAATTAGCGAGTCCACATTGCGGGACAGGACACCCATCAGCATTCAAATGTTCAGTTTATAGCACAGATACATCCTGAAGACGCTCCCCTACCATCAACAAGAGGTTTGTGTGTGGTGGGGGGGTGGGGTGGGGGGATACAGAAACCATGCCCTTGGAGCCCAGGGAGCTTCACTCCCTAGCCACTGCAAAGTTGGGCCAGGACATTCCGGGGGGCGGGGGCAGACGGGGAAGAAAAGATACGAAAGAGGCCCTACCAGGAGCAGAGAGGAGTAGGTGACCAGAGCAGCTGTTGCAGAGAGCATCACCACTGACCAGTCCAGCCACCATTCCGTCTTCTGGAAGAGGAACCTGTTGGGGGGGGGCAAGTAAAGCTTACTGAAAGCTCAGAAAGGGGCATGATGGGGTGGGGGAGTAGCGGCGCCTTCTACTCACTCATTGAGGTTGTGGAAATCGTTGAGAGTGACGAGGGCCAGATAGAGCCAGACCAGAGTAAGAAGGCAAACGCAGAAGAGGAGGAAGAACCAGGCACAGTCGCACTGCGGAGCAGAGGAAGGGGTCAACTGGTGATGCCACCCCAGAACTCCACCATAAGCAGGCTCAGATGGAGGAGCCAGACTCCTCCCAGCCAGCCCCACCTCCACCACGCAGCCGCTGCCCCACCTGGCCACAGCAGAGGTCTCCTCTGAGCTTTGCTCCCATGCACCCGCGGGGAGGGATTCTCAGGCCATTTGGACAGCCCACCAATGTTTCCCACAAGCGGTTTAGCCAATGTCCGGCTTATTTGGGGGACACAGCACTGGACAGATCTGGAGGAGTGGGGCCGATGGGAGGGAGAGGCTGCAACCCAGGACTGGGGATAGCTCCCTCCCCAGAGATGCTTGGGACCTCCGTGAGTCTTGTCTCACAGCTGCAGAGACACCCTGTTGGCCTTCTGCCATCTCCCCAGAGTGACCGCAGCCCCCTGCTCCTTCCTGGGGCAGGAGGTCCTTTTCAGATGTCCCTGCTTGCACACACACCTTGCTCGTCTTCAGGGCCTTCTTGCTGTGAGTCCAGCGGCAGCTGAAAAGTCCAAGGAGGCAGGTGGTGCAGAAACCGCAGCAGCCGCCGTCCTTTGCCATGGTCAGTCACCTCTTGGGGGGCAGCCCAGCCCTGCAAGGTGAAATGGGCAGCAGCTTGGTGGGCCTGGCAGGCAGGCGCTTCTGGGAAGGACAGGGCTGGCAGGAGTGGAAGCGAGGAGGGGAAGGGAAAGAGATTCCACGGACCCCCGGCCTGCCCCCTTGCTCTTTTCCACCACCCCAATGGTACCAATGTGGGGCAGTTTGGCAAGGGGGAGGCGAGCTCGGCAGGATTCTCCAGCTCCTCAGACTCGTCCCCTGGTGGATTCCCAGAAGAGGCTAATTCAGATGAGCCACCAGCAGGGAAACCCGCACAACCTGGCCTGCTGAGCTTCCCCGGCCACCCCGCCCCAAAGCTGCAAGTTGGAGCAAGCCTGCAGTGCACAGAGGCACTTTAGTAAGTTGCTCAACCCACCATCTTCTCCCAGGTGGGGAAAAGAGGGAGGAGGAAGGGATCACGCTCCTCCCGGGAAGTCCCACTCCCAGTGTAACCTCTGGCTTTTTCTTCCACGGACAGGAAGGGTGGGCATCACCCTTACCCTGCTGCTGGAGGGGAGTGGGGGTGCAGGGGGGAATCATCTGGGCTTGAGCACAGTGCCCTGGATCCATGTCACAAACCATATTGTTGTAATTTGATTTGTGTTCAGATGAGCACTCAAGGCAGGTAACAACATGTTTGTTTGTTTTTTAAATCAAGAGATTAAAACCTAACTACTAATACAGAAACCATTCTACAGGCAAGCTGGTGATGCTAAAACTATAACAGATCTCATTCTGCTTTACTGCAGTGTGAAAACTCTGATTTTTAACCCGTGATGTATGTCAACCAAATCTGGCCTAGTTGCAGAGGACCAAAGCATTCCCTATGTGTGCAGCACCAGCCAGGGGCCTGACAGACAGAGGCATGAACGCCAGCCATGTCTACAGCACCAGAAAAGTGCACAGACCTCCCTCCCCCACTTCTGTGCCTGCCTCTGGGCCCTTCCCCACTCACCCCTAAGGGCCACCTCAGTGTTGCTCCATCTTGACCCAGCCTTAAGTTCTCCTCAGATGCCCAGGAGCTAAAGCAGCCTTGCCCTCTTATTCATCCAACACCTTTTAGGGCAATGATGGTGGGAGCTGTCCCCTCTCCACCTTGCAGAGTCAGATGGGCTGCCTTAGGAGGGACAGAGGCCAGTGAAGAATTGGCAATGGGGCGGCCAAGTTCTTGCTGGGGTTGTTTTCTGCCTCTGGCTCAGGGGGGGCTGGAGAGCAGCCTCCCTCTCCCTCTGGTCTCCAGATTGCAGGCCCTCTCGGGGAAGAGCCCTGCAAACCCTATTTTTTCCTTTTATTGGAAAGAGACCCCAGACTATTGGAGAGGGGAGCGTGGGGTGCCTTTGGCACATCAGCTGCATGTGCAAAGAACTGGGGCAGAAGGGTGGGGGCACAGCCGCCACCACAGCATTCTTCGCACGGAAGGACCCCTGTACACGACTGCACAACAAAAGCATTAAAGCATTCACGGGAGGCCCTCCAACCCTGCCCAGGCCTCTTAGACCTGGGGAAGGGGTTGTCATGGTTACCACCAAGGCGTCGGGCCTTGGTGCACAAGGACAGTGAAATAGGGGCTGGGGGGGGGCAACAGTTTGGCTATGCAACTCAAAAGCACCAGCCTCCTTGCCAAACCTTGTCTTGCAATGGAGTTCTTTAGCCCGGGGC